GTATAAATGTAAAATACATAAATTTAGATTACGTAGTAATTGCAATAAATATCTATCTCGCTTCTCGGTAATTTCTGAAAAACATTAACATTGAAAGATTAATTAATTAGTTTTAACTATACATTGGATGCAAGCTTTATTTAATCATTGAATTTTGTGTATTTATATAACATAGAATTTTCGCGCTAATTAAATAGTTTCTAGAAAATTAATAATAACGTTATCATATCGGTAATTCAAACGATAATGCACTTTGGTTAGTACAAACAATTTGCAATATTGCGATCGCTGTCTTATTTAATGAAATTAGTGCGTAATTTACGAGAGAGAAGCTCGTCAACAATGTTATGTGTAGTTCCTATTACCGAATTAACACATGGACGCTACTAATATAGTCGTTTAGTAACAATGTGCATGATAATCTATATCAGTATTATGAACTGCGCGGATATTACCTTTTAGAAATATCCGACTACTTAGGATGCGCCACAACGTAGAAATTTGTATCCGTAACAACTCAAATTTTAATCTTGCCCGCGTAATAGCGCGTTTCCGTGTATTTCGCTATCACAAACGGCTCCTCTTAACGGTTATTTGCCAGGCTAAGGGAAAAACAATGCTCTCGAGTACGCCGTATCCTGTGCTTAGCATAACGGTAAAGTAAGTTCGGACGAGACTAAGAGGCTAAACACTCGGAAATATTTGGGAGCGAGTGAGAGAGACAAAGAGAGAGAGAGAGAGAGAGAAATAAAGAAAGACGAGAATTCTTAAAGATGTTAAAAGTCATGGAACAGCAATTATCCTTTGCATTAAGAAAGATGAGAATTCTTAAAGATGTTAAAAGTCATGGAACAGCAATTATCCTTTGCATTAACACTTCTGGCATGAGTAATGTGCCATTTCCGCAAATTCTGGAAAGGAAAGTTATTTCCACGAAATTTATTTATTTATTTTTTATATTATTCCGTGGTTTTACATGGAACAATAAAGAAATATTAATATCAAATTATCGAACACGTGTATATCCAAATATGACATAAATCTTTAAAATTCCGTCAAAACCAAATAGTAAACAGCGATATCTGCTATGACATAAATGTTAATGTTACGTAATTTTATTTTACCGCATTCTGTTGCACGTGGACGTTGTGTCATTTGCCAATTTCAATGAAAATAAATCCATTGGTTTATTAGATAACCTTGTGAATTAATTTATGTCGCATTAATTAACCAACAGTTAAGCAACATGTTCCTGGAGCTAGCGTGCTTTGCATGCTGCTCTATCGTGTGTGTGTGTGTAACGTGCACAATCCAAGTTTTGCGGTATATGTATCCAGAGAACGAGATGAGTGACACGCGTTACGTGCTACCTACTTCACCGTTTCCGTTACTGTAAAATCCTATAACGTGAAAAAATATCGTCGACGCGGAGAAATCCGTACGTGCGGAACATGTGCGTGGAACGCGTCCAAGTTGAGCGATAAAAAAAAATATAGGCAGATCAAACGAAAAAAAGTCTGGCAATACTGTTTTATTCATCGACGCGTTCGAATAGCGGGGCCACATTTTTTCGCCAAAGGAACTCCCCGCTCGCTGTAATACATAAATGCATAAAACACGGCGCGGTTTCCCTTATTTCTTCGATTTTATAATATCATTTATCAAGGTATGATCATCGAGATATAATTGTTGATTTCAATGTATTGGACGAGAAGAAACGATGACTGCGCATTCTAATAAAAGTGATTGCCTTTACGTATGTAAATTGTATAAATGAGAAAGTTTGACGTGTGCGTAGAGCGGAACGTAATGGAGAAAATACGATTGCATTGGTCGAAACGAAAGCAAACAGTTAACGTAGTGCTCGCGTTATCGATCTTATTTTTCCCGTTATATTGCCCGTTTCCTGCAAGACAAAATGTGTGCGAAGGATTAGGAGAAACAAACTGCCGCAGGTTTACATAACTCGGCCGTGCCAATCCCAAAGATCGCGATATCGCGAGCACTTTCATTCTATCTCGATTCGTTATACAACAACGCGCTAAACCGGTTCTATCATCGTGCACTCACGCAAACCAGACGTTATGGTTGTGTACCTTTTTCGGTCAACACATTTTACCTATAAAATCGTGTATAGTATTTAACTTACGCGCAATTACAAACATAAGTGTGAGTCACACATATCAGACTTCTAAGAAACCTACTTAAGTGCTTATTATCTTGCACTTTATGCATCATTAAAAGATCTGTCGTCTTGAAATCTGAAAAAAACTGATAAATTTTTGTAGAAGTAGAGATGATAATTATTATATACGTGGAAATATAAAAAAAAGACATTGATCTTTTTATTATAAAATCGATTGACATTATGTCAAGATGTTGTATCTTGATGCTTCTGTTATTGTATATTTTTCTTGTTATTAGTATATACTATTGTCATTATGTCTAATAATAATGCGTACGACAGATATAATGGAACTTCAGCATAGATAATATCGCATGACCTGCTAACTCATCAGAAAGTAATTGACGCGCGAGACTTTGCGCTTTGCACGCAAACGGTATCATTACGTATAATAACGTTATTGACCAGTTTTTATGACATTCGGTATCATCATCGCTGAAAATCCTGCATCTCGCGAGTTTTCATCTGCGTGTAAAATTACGGTTTGTTCTAAATTGACTGGATTTTTCATTCGTAAACAGCGTGCCGACCGGCGCGGATTCGAGCTCGGACGTTGAAAACAATGGCATGCGCGGGCATGTATGAAACGAAACATGCGCCGGGACAAAACAAATGCACATATTCATACATGGAAATGGTGCATTGGGAGAGGGGGAGGGGGAGGAGAAAGAAACGAGAGGCCGGGGGTGCAGCGCAGCGTTACAGGGAAATCGCGCGTTGAATAACCGGACGTGTCGAAAACCCGAATATTTCCCGAGTCGCAGCTATTTGCGCCAATTGACCATCGTAACATCAATTACGAATCGCGTTAGTGGAGCACGTCATTTCATATCGTCAATGTCATAAATGCCTTCACTTAAATAGATATTTTCACAAAACAAACGTATCCAACATTTAAGGATGTTTCGGCTATACAATAGTAGCAAAAAACAGTAAAAATTAAAAAAAAACGTTTCTCACGTTTATACTGTTTGAAAAATCAAATAGATAAATTCGGATTATAAAAAGAATTAAAGTATCACAAAATAATATGGTTTTTATAATGTCTTCGTAAAAGAAAATAGTTGTAATTAATATTTTTCCTAATTTATGACAAAAACTTTTGATCGTGAATATACATGAAATCAATTGCAAGAAACAAAAAAAAACGAGTAATTTGCAGAAAGAGACACATAGACAGATAACATTTTTCTACAATTTTTAGTATATAACTTTTAAATGAGTAAGTGGATGTAAATCAAGTTTTGCACAAATATTTATTAGAGTTTTCTTAATATATGTGAAAATTTTTATTTTGTTGGCAATGTTTTTTCCGTGTCAAATTTGTCAATAAGTGCTACAATACGCGATTTTCCATAAGAATCAATACTCATTTTAAACTTAAATAATTTCCAAACCGTTAAAAGAATTGTGCTCAGATTTTGCACAGATACTCAGAGGAAATAGTAGAACAGTTTACGAAATTTTCATGCTTTTGTCAATGTTTTGACATATGACACATACATCTTTAAAATAAAATGTTACTTTGAAAGATTAGCGCGATTTTTCTTCTTATTACGAGTAATTGTAATGGATGAATGGGTAATGCGTCCTTCTGAAAATATCTGCTTGAAAAATGTAAAAACATTCAATAGAAATGTCTTGCTTTTTATGATTAATAATATTGGTTGATATATTAATGTATTAATTATTATTTGTTACGGATCGAAATATGACAAACAGGCGCGTGTTGAAACAATAGATATTTTTATCACTTGTTCGTAAAGTAAAAATAAAAGATTATATGTATAGCGTGAGACTTCCTTTTACTTCTAATGCAATAAACCACAATCGAGGCCACGGATTCTATGCTAATTTAAGATTCACGTAATCGGCAATCCTGGTAAACTTTGCTACGATAAACGTTGCGCTCATTTACATCGGGATACTAGCGACCTCGATAAGGCGTCCTTGTGCCATCTTGCCAATTCGATCCCTTTGTCCCGGTCCATCAAACCACTTGCAACAATGAAGACACGTTTCATCAAATCTAATTGCCATAGTCTAGCCAAGCTTTATACATCAATGTTTCAGATATGTTGAAGATTGAGGTTTATATGTGAATATAATTTATAAATATATATAATTTAAATTAATTAAATTAACTTTTTTTAAATTTGTAGAGAGGAAACGATATCAATTATACGATTTTTAACTTTGTCACTATATTTGACATTGCGCAAAAAGCACACTTCTAGTCTTATAAAATATAAAATTAATGATTAATTTATGAGATAAAGTAAAGATTTGCCCTTGTAGAATTTAAATTTTTATTTCCGTGAATTTTTATGTACAGTCACTGTAAAATGTTTATAGTACAATCATAAAAAGGTTAGTTTAATATAAGATAATATTTACAATTTTGAGATTAAATTATATTCTACAAGGCAAATCTTAACTCACAAATTAATTATTGATTTTATATTTTAAAAAGCTAAAAGTGCTTTGTGTGTGTGTGTGTGCGTGTGTGTAACCAATGTCAAATTCATAAATTTCGTAATGTATTAGATTCATTAATTTTTGAATAGTTGATCCGTCTAGTTCCTCAAACACGAGACATTCTGATTTTTTATACGTCTAAAATATTTCTTTTTGATTTGTTATTTATGATAATTTATCGTATGTATTATTGATGAACACTATATAAACCTGTTTTATTATGCACGATGTTATGAAGAATATCTTGATCATCATAATAATCTCCGATTCATGCTCGCCTGGCTTGGAAATTATATGTCAGGTCGAAGCGTAAATTCCTATCCTCTCTCTTTTGCAATACTATTACCAGGTGGTATATTATTCGAGAGCGCCACGCGCTCGCCGTGGTGCCGGAGCGGTTTCCTTTTCCAACGGGCCCCAGTCATTCAGAATGTCTCTGTGCGAATGGTACGCGAATCGCGCGGTGCTTCTCACGGGAGTCACCAGCGAATTAGGACGTGTTCTGCTGGAGAAGATCCTGCGATGCTTGCCGAACGTCACGGTGTGCGTCGTTCTCAGATCCCGGAACGGTCTCACCGTCGAGGACCGGTTGAAGAAGCTGTTCGCGTCACCCGGGTACGAACGACGGTTTATACCCATCGCGTTCACCTCGTGCCTGTAAATCGCGCCGGTCGCTCGATATCGCCTTTGTGAGCATTAAATTGTGACCCGCGATTCCGCTCGAGGGCGTGCGTCGAATTTATTCTCGAGGACGTCGAACCGAAAAAGGCACTTCTTTTTCCTTTTCTCCTTCTCTCTCTCTCTGTCTCTCTGTCTCTCTCTCTCTCTCTCTCTCTTTGCACCCGGTGATGAGCACAGCTCGAATGTTTAAGGTGCAACTACTTCGACGCTATTATGTTTGGCTGAAATTGCTCTCGGTTGCGGTTGCTTGCCGGATTTTCCACGTCTTATTTGCGACTCCTTCTACAGCTCCGTTTAAAATAGTTACGGCGCATAAATCTGATTGCATAAATCTCTGCAGCGTTGAACATATCAAACTTAAAAAAAAAATGTTGGAGCCTGGATGCCTGGAAAAAAATGGTACATAAAAAAAGTTACGTGTATGAGATAAACTAAATTTAATATGCCAAACGTTTCGAAATGAAATGAGATAACATTTATGGTATTATTCCTTTTTCATGATGATTAATATCAATTACTGTCATTTATAATAATTACATCATCCATACATAATTAATTTTTCTCAAGATCGCGCATTTTAATTTCTCTCGTGTTGATTAATATGTTGATTGTATCTATACGCTCGGGAGATAAACCTAAGGATGCGTTGCGTAATTCAAGACTGCGTATCACTGAACCACTGCTTTACATTTTTAACGGCGTCCATTCCGTGCGCTTTTTTCACGCCGTGGTGCATCTCTATTTTGATAGCGCGGCCTGGCAGTAAATACTAAAGCCGATTTGCGTCACCAGTGTTATTATCGTCCGGCAGGTACGAGCGACTGAAGCAGGAGATGCCGGGCGCGATCTCGCGCGTGAAAATGTTGGACGGCAATCTGCTTTACGAGGAGCTCGGCCTAAGCGACAAGGACAAAGCCTCGTTGAAGGAAGTTACCGTGGCCTTTCATGCCGGCGGACCGCACGAAGTTGTCTTGGAATATTGTCAGAAATTACCGAAGCTCAAGAGCATCGTCGTAGCGTCCAGCATTTTCAGGCATCGCGGCGATATAACCGAAAATCTGCAAAACGAGAAGATTCCCGAATTACCAGTTGCCCTAGTGCGCTTTCCCTTTGTCGGACCGGCATAAATGGATGAGCACAGCTCGAATGTTTAAGGTGCAACTACTTCGACGCTATTATGTTTGGCTGAAATCGCTCTCGGTTGCGGTTGCTTGCCGGATTTTCCACATCTTATTTGCGACTCCTTCTACAGCTCCGTTTAAAATAGTTACGGCGCATAAATCTGATTGCATAAATCTCTGCAGCGTAGTTTGGAACGTCAAGGTATTATGCTGTATTTGCGTTTTTGTCCATCCAAACACACAGCAGGAAAGTTACGTGTATGAGATAAACTAAATTTAATATGCCAAACGTTTCGAAATGAAATGAGATAACATTTATGGTATTATTCCTTTTTCATGATGATTAATATCAATTACTGTCATTTATAATAATTACATCATCCATACATAATTAATTTTTCTCAAGATCGCGCATTTTAATTTCTCTCGTGTTGATTAATATGTTGATTGTATCTATACGCTCGGGAGATAAACCTAAGGATGCGTTGCGTAATTCAAGACTGCGTATCACTGAACCACTGCTTTACATTTTTAACGGCGTCCATTCCGTGCGCTTTTTTCACGCCGTGGTGCATCTCTATTTTGATAGCGCGGCCTGGCAGTAAATACTAAAGCCGATTTGCGTCACCAGTGTTATTATCGTCCGGCAGGTACGAGCGACTGAAGCAGGAGATGCCGGGCGCGATCTCGCGCGTGAAAATGTTGGACGGCAATCTGCTTTACGAGGAGCTCGGCCTAAGCGACAAGGACAAAGCCTCGTTGAAGGAAGTTACCGTGGCCTTTCATGCCGGCGGACCGCACGAAGTTGTCTTGGAATATTGTCAGAAATTACCGAAGCTCAAGAGCATCGTCGTAGCGTCCAGCATTTTCAGGCATCGCGGCGATATAACCGAAAATCTGCAAAACGAGAAGATTCCCGAATTACCAGTTGCCCTAGTGCGCTTTCCCTTTGTCGGACCGGCATATAAAGAACCTAAGCCTGGCTTTGTCGAGATTCTTAAAGGACCCACTGCCCTTATGGTTGGCGCAGGTTTTGCGTACGGCAACTCGTCGTTCCAGGCTGAGATTATTCCGATGGACATAGCGGTGAACACGATGATCGCGGCCGCGTGGGAAGTCGGCATGTACGTCAAAAAAGATATAAATCATAAATTGATATAAAAATATTTTAATAATTCCTCTCTTTTTTTTGTGTGATTATACTTAAATATTAAAAGTTTTAATTATTTTATTAAAAATAATTACATTTAATAATCTTTAAAGAGGAAGCATTAATTTAACAATCAAAATTTAAAATATTTAAGATTCTTATTGCTGCAAACTTTCTCTCTTTTATTCTTGCATTAATCAAAGTTAACTTGCTGTTTGTTTTAAAGTAATAAATAAATTTCTGCACTGGAAATGCATTAAAATATTCATTTACGTAAGAGCTATCAAGAGGTGCTTAAATATTACGTTCGTTTAATGTTTAATTAAGAGGAGAAAGTCACCATTTACTAACAGTACGCACGTGTACGGTGTTATGCAATCTTACGGAACAGCAATAATCAACATCGTCTAATTACGAGACATGAAACAGAATATAGCGATATCGTTCTATTTTCTCATAGTTGTGCAACCTGTGTATTTCCTTTTACTCTGAAAACATGTAAAGGTTTTTACTCGGGGAAATAATTATCGATACTTGCGTTTCTCTTAATGAGATCTTGTTGCTAAAAGAAGATTTTTATTACTATACTTTTTCGTTTCTATAGTAAAATATCAGTAAAATGATATCAAATACGAATGAAAAATTGTTATACAGAAAAGTAGTATTGCTATTATTAGTGTCGACAATTCTACCCACCCATCCATTTTTATCAGAAGTAGAAAATGCAAAATCAATAAAAATTAAAGAGCTTGATCTGATACGAAAATCCGTATAAAATCTCATGTACGATAGATTAATACTCGATTTATAGATTGATCTCCGTGAAAAACGGTTAGTTTTATATAAAAAAAAAATGAAATAGAATTGTTAATAAAAAAAGGGATAAAACCTTTCTCGCAATCCGTTGCAGTTTTTAACATATCGCAATTGAAATTTGTTGTAGACACGGCTTATCTAGTTTTCCAATGCGAAATTGGATACGAACAAACACGTTTTACATGTGCGCGCTGTTTCCGCGGTTATTACTGTTTTGCTCGCATCCGATGCTTCCGCTTCAATTGTCTAAAACGGAATTCGTTCCTTTCAGTTTTTGTTCGAAATTCATCCTGCAATTTGCTAAAAGCATTGTTACTTCTGTTTTGATAATATATTATAAGTTTCTTATCTTAAAAAGTTAAATTACTTTGAGGTCTAAGTCAGTTAATAGTTTGATAATATTAAATTTATTTTTTATCTTAATAAAACAAAACAATTAGTTCTTTTAAACAAACTATATTATCTAATCTATTTAAAAAGGTATCTTATTGTATTGAAGATATATTGTATAATGTATTATCGTTTTTTAATTTTATTTATTATTTCAAGTTGAGTTTATAACACATATCTATATTATATATAAATCTATATTATATTTTACACTATTTATTTTAGTGTACGCTATTACAGCGCGTTAAAATACTGTGATAGACAGCATTTTATTTTAAACAATGATTAAACAAATGAGAGTTTGAATTTATTACTGAGTTTTAAGTGCTGACTAAGAGCTTTAGAATTCCTTTAGAGTTATGTGCTGACTAGGATTCTTTAGAATTCCTGTTTATTTCTAAACTTTTGGATCTTTTCGGTGTTATATTTTCGGCTTTTGTAAAAAGTATGATAGAAAGATATGTTTTTTACTCGAAGGAAACGATTAATAGAGATTGTGCGCGCGCAAGCGGATAATCGATAGTTAAATTGTGCTCCATGCTTGGAAGGAAGATAAATTAAATTATATTAAATCAGTTTATCAAACCAAAAATATAGATAGATTTTCATGTAAGACACATTGACAAGAAAACAAGTTCAACGCAAATGAAAGGTAAATGAAACGAACATTGAAAGCAATATCATGACGAAAATGTTGGCTCGCGAGAGAAAGCATTTCGATTACAATCGCGATGCATCTTGTCGATAAGACTTCTTCTTTATTCGCTTCATACGAGGTTTTAATTAGACGGCGAGCACAGTGAGATTCAAGATAAGCTCCTTAAATTGCAAACTTTATTTCAGTCAGCCGATAAAAAACCAATCGGATAAAACTCATAGCTATGTTTTTCCAGAGTTTTTTCAGAAGTCTTACATTTGATAGTAGTTTCAACTAGGTGCATCTTTTGGCTTTGTCTTGTGATATTTCCAAACGACTGAACTGCGAATAAGTTAATTCCATTCGCTTTACAAAAGAGAAGCGGCGCTACATCTGCCTTTCATGCTTTTTCTTTCGTCTTTAGCGATTGTCCTATTCGTATTTGAATTACACTAGTCAGAGATGTAATTAATTATAATCGTTAAAAATAGTCTTGCATAAGGAAAATGGAAGTGCGTTATAGTCTTGCTATCCGTATAAATTCTCATTAAGTTGTTTAACAAATCTAAACTTAAAGTGATTAGCGATGCACACGCACATATGAACAAAATCCAATAACAGATCGAATTTTGCAATATAATGCATTTTTTCACTGTTCGATTTTTGATTATTCGGATTTATCAGAGTATCGGATTTATCGCTTACGTTTGCTTACAAAACTTATTGGAAAATATATGCATGGTAGCATTTACATATATACAACAGCACTCTATAAATGTAAACTGGATGACTTGTAAAATTAATAATGCAGATGCATATATGTATATTCATATTTAACTTACGTAAATATATTGTTGCATATCATTCTATATGGAAAAAACATTTGCTACACTTAATCGCAAATGAAGCAGTTAATTATCGTACGATGTTAAATGATTGGAAAGTATCCGGTATCGTGCACTCTTGCTTTCGTTTTCACCCAGGTCCAACGCTTCGAAGCCGGTGGTCTATAACGCGGTGACGTTGGGCTGCACGTGGGAGGACCTGATTAAAAATAACCGACGGGCCAGCTGGAGATTTCCCTACCCGACTTTCGGAATTCGCGGAATGACATCCATCGGGCCGCTGTACTGGATTTTGGTGCTGCTCCTCGAATGGCTACCATCCGTACTCTGCGACGTAGTGCTCGGTCTGTGCGGCAGAAAACAGAGGTACGAGCGCGAAATTTATCGCGAAATTTCACGAGTCACGAATTTATCGTCATAGTTTCGTCAACGTCGCCGTTGCTGCGTAGTCTCGCGGAAAATTTAACGCAGCCTTATATTTTGGCCACTATTATTAATTTTGCTATAAAAATGTGAAAAATGTTAAGATTTTTTTTCGCGTTTTATTTTATTCGCTGCTTTACAATTTATTGTTATTTTATATAAATAAGACGTACTAATTACGTAATTTACTAATTATATTTGTTTAATATTGCACTATTAGTCTTGTATTACGTGCTTCTTATATTAGATACTTAATCGAGAGGCTACGAGTAAGCTACTCTTATACCGGAGTATTGTCTAAGTTTAAAGTTGGCTTCGCATAGCGCTTCTGCAACAGCTGGTAATATTAAATTTGCTCGCGATATTAACTTGTGCAGAAAACGCAACACTATTAAAGGCATTAAGTCATTTTTTAAGAGAGCATAACGCTATATTACGGCACAATTTATAATTCATGGATAGCTTATACATCACGTTAAAATATGCAGCCTTAAGTAGAGATTGTGCGCTATTTTCGCAACCATTTGATGAGAAACGTTAACTTCATACGACTCCATCTATGCTATTTATAGGAAATATTAGAATATTATTTATAGCAACGTTTTCGTGCGATATCTGCAATTGAATATACGTTCTACTTTCAGCGCATAATATCGCGACGACTATAAATTCGAGAGATCACGGAACGATCGCAGCTAGTATTAAACCTCGATGCATTTTGGGGATAATTCCTCGCTCCATTCGCGAGCATTAAGAAACGGTTAAAGCCGCTCATACATGAAATTTCGAACTACGCTGATAACTACTTTCACGTTTGCGAGTAAGTTTCGATGAGAAGACCCGCGTGCAAGTTTGATCGCGATCGCGAACGCTTATATTCGGTCTCTTCAACTTTCTGCGTTGTCGTTCACACATTCGCTTAACGCGTCGCAATTCGTAAAAGTAAAAGTTATCTGGAACTGAAATTTTAGGCGCAAGCGACATAAACAAGTTTACCGGCTCTCGCTCGCGCGCGAATGAACGCCGAGAGAAGGAAAATCGCGTCTCGAATGGAAAAACTCGTTTCCTCGATCGCGAAAGTTGCTCGATGCCTGATTGCTTTGAGAAATGAGGTTTGATGCCGCATTCGCGACGAGAAAACTTTCGGGAAATCTTGACAGAATGTCCCATCGAAATCGCTTTTTACGTGCTCTTGGAAGGTATTCGGGCGTATCGACTTACTATTTACTTTGCAAGACCAGCACACTTTCGTAATTATTTTCAATGGACTTCTCAATGACAAACGGTGACGATCAATTAACTTTCTGACGTACTTTTTCAGGAGAGTTTTTTCACCGATAAAATCTCAACTATATAGTTTTGTAATTGTTACTATCTATTTTTTATATGCACAATAGAAAGGACAAGGAAAGAAAGAAAAAAATACGGCCGTTATAGAAATCGATTCCTTTCGCAGATTGATATGCGAACGAAAATATTTTTGCTTTCTGGATTCAATCTGTCAAATACTCTTCTGATTTTTTTCATTTGCTCTCTCAGATGCGTACGGAATAAATCTTGCGCGCTAACTTAGCTCGGACTTTCTTCCTTGAAAGGCAGCTCTCCCATCAAGTTTGCCACGATTCTTTCGTAATAAGTTGGATTGGAAATTATATAGTTTGCGACGAACGAAGAAAGTTTTTTATTATCCCGCTCGCGCTTAATGGTATTTTACGATATTTTTTTTCAATTGCGATTGAATTGGCTACTCGAACATCAATCTTGAGTATATCCCATTCGTTTTACTGTATGTATAGAGTCTATATACATAAAAAACAAATATAATTTTATCTAAACAATATTACATTATGGAGGGAATGAAAAAAAGACACATAGTCGAGTGTTCGAGATCAGGCGAGACAAGCATTAACGATAAGAAAAAGAAAAAAAAACAATCGGTTTCATGGAGATAAAAACCTTTACTGCTTCCTAGGATTTTCGCAGAGTACGAGAGAGTTCGTAATGCACTTCAATCCCTGAAGCCAATTTCATCGAGACCGTGGTCAGTGAAAAGAAATCGCGTGTACCTGCTGCAGCAACGTCTCGCGGCGACAGATCGAGATGTATTTCCGGTCACAGCGGAAGTTGACATCGAGGCTTATCTCCTCTGCGCTGCAGCCGCCACCCAGAAGTCCTGCGTGCACGAGGACAATCTTAAAATCATTAGGATTATTCATCTGTTCTTGTTATACGCGCCCGTAATATTCGTCGTTGCATATATTGGCTCACGTACATTGCTGTCACATGAATAAAATTTTAATATTTACATAAATAATTAAGAGATTTTTATATATACAGAATATTTTTATATATACAGGCAGGCTTTTAATTTGCAAAAATTTCTAATGCAAAGAACACAATGTCTATGAAACGTCTATATTTAAAATTAATAAGATTAATAAATATGTCTGCACACACAATTACCTATATACTGCACGGTTTAAAATTACATTAAATTAAATTTGCATTCTTAAACCTTAGTTTTATTTTCTGTATTTTTGTTACATGTAGTTTCATTCAGTCTATTAATAGTTTGTGTCAACATGATATTAATAGTACGATATCTATTCATTTTACAAATCATTCATATTTAAGATTTTTTTTCTGGCATAAAAAAATTAATAATATCTCGACTATTTATGAAGTCCATAGTTTTAGAAGTCTACCTGGTTAAAATCGTACGTAACGCTTTGCAAATATTCGTGACAGTCATGCGAGGCGTCTATATGAGAAAATACTATTTGAGTGAAAGTTTTCAGGCGCCACAATCCACTCGCCTTCGCGCGTACAGCAGTATCAACGAAGGCATATTTCTGGGCACGTTCTCTCTTATGTAATACCGCCGCGCTGACTTGCACTCATTGCATCGAGAAAGATACAGGAAAAATGGGGAATATTATTTGCAGATTTTGTATATTCTGAGAACAAGAAAGAAATGCGAAAACTTCTCGATGTACGATATAAGGATCGTTTTGTTTTGAAGCCGCAGGCGCGAAAATGCAGCATGATGATAATATTTCGATGCTTATTTTTAAAGCAACTCTAAGAAAAAAAAGAACACATGTAAAGATTTCTACTCTATTTGCGTACATAATTATTTTGTAACAATTATTGTGTAAGCAGTTTTGGATAGAAGGATGCATATCTTATATATACATATATATAATAAATTGTTATTAGGCAAATGTGAATGTGTGTGTGATGTATGAACGTAATGAAATTGCGTATATTATAATATTTTATATTATGTATGTAAAAGATGTAGCTTTAAAACTATTTTTTCTTCGCTTTTATTATATATTCTGTCTGCACTTGATTCACATAAATGTGTGAAATTTATATTAACACATTGAAAAAATCTCTAATAATTTAAAATAATTTAAGTTTTCTTATTTTTAAATTCACATGCAAATTATCGTATAAATTCTTTCCTCATTTCTGTAGTAATAACACAGTTGGAGCAATGATCGTCTATCGCGGAATATTCCCATCACTACATAATGTACGTCATCCGATTCTTTCCGCTTTTCGTTGTCAGCAAAAATTTCGTTCGCGTGACTAGCTCGTAGGAGCTTGAGCCGAGTTATGCTTTCAAAATCCTATTACGAGTTGCGAGCGCGAAATTTAGCAAAGAAAGTTGCGGATTAGTTTCGCGGGATATAATTGGACGTGGTGGGTGGAACTGTGCCTTCATAATAATAATTGGGAACGTCTATTCCGCGAAACGAAGTTTCTCGCTGTCGGTGAGAAGCTGAGCTGTGGATTGAGAAGCTAAAAAAAGAAGTTAAAGGGGAGACTATTAGATAAAAAAGCAAAGTAATGCAAAAAATAGTAAAGAAGAGAAAGAAAGAGAGAGATAAAGTGAAAGGAACAAAGCAGGTATACATATTTAATTTAACTCTAATAGAGATATGAATAAGACGTATATATCCGAGTAAATATGTACATGATTGCTTCTCTGTAAAAGTGACTTATGCCGGCGTGACTTATGCCTAGAACAATGGAATAATACATTCAACGAAAAGAACATCAAAGCGGTCTTTGTAAATTCGTTCAACTTTTCCTATTTCCATAGCGTTGTTTCGCGAAAATTCACAACTGCAAAGAGATATAAACAGAAAAACAATTTTTATTTACTTTATAATAACTATAAATAAAAACAAGGTGTTTGCGACAACGTTGATAGGCAAATGAGAAAAATATCACGATATAAATTGATAACACATATACTGATATGTATCTATATCCATGTACCTGTTTTTCACTTTTATTTTTATTCTAAAATTTAGTATTAAAACAGTCTGTGTTTTCTAACTATATCATTTATTTTATATTTTATTAGATAATCTCTATATATCTGAATATTTTATGGACTTAAATCTCATTCTTTCCATTGTATTTTCTAATCGCTTTACGAATTATAATCGGTTAATGAATAGTATACAATTTATTAGTGTTTCTAAACTTTCTAGTAATTATCTGTTATCGTCTCTAGTCGCATTCATGCGATCAATCAAACTGCAAGAATTATCATAACTTGACAGTTTTGAGAAACAAGATTTTCTCTCCCTTTCTCCCTTCCGCTAGTGCCCCCTCACTATTTCAAGATTATTTACCCCAAAGGTCTGTAAAGTTTTCTAACAGCTGTTGCTGGGAGAGTTCCTCCTCCTTTCTCGATCTTATTTCGCCTTCACCTGCTGCGCGAGCTTGAACAGATATCTTTCTTGCTTGCTGAAGTAGTTGAAACTCTCAAGCGGCAGTTATCCGATGTGTTTCTGCACCATCCACGCGCTCGAATTTCACCGGAAATTTCGCCGAAAACTGAAAAGCCGTATTTCTTACGGCGTGCGCACGTAATGAAGCGAGACTGGAATAAACGGAAGTTCTGGGGCCACACAATGGTTCTATTCTTCTTCGTCATAATGTATGACCGTACTAATAGCAAAATAATTTTTACGCGCAATATAATACAATATTTGATGATTTTCCAGCTTTTTCTCATCCGTTGCATAGTAATTCATATATGCATATTTACGATATTTCTTCCGATATCATTACTTATACGCATAGAAAAATTAAAGAGCATACATATAAGAATTTTTGACAAACACAAATGCAAATTGTTTTGTGTTCACGATATTTTATTATATAAGTATACACAAATTTTTATGTTGCATAAAGCATAGAGTTATTTCACTGACAACGATTCTCTCTTCCTATCGATTAATCGAAATTAAATCAGGAAACCGCAAGCGACAATTTATTATAAACAAACTATATACAAGGAGTGCATAATGATGGTTATGTGGCGGATATGTTACATGATAGATGTGCGTTTGAACGGCAAACGTCATCAGCGCGAGAGATATTGCAGTAATAAACGTAAAGCGCATCTTCTTGGTCCGATTGTACCGCACGAGATTAATTGCAGCCATTCTATTTCCTTGGTAATGTCGGGGCTCGAGAGCTCGACCACGATGGGTGGATACAATGGTCGTGTATGGTTTCAGGATCAAGTGGAATAAGGAAAACGTAGGTCCGGCATAGATCAGCGTCGCGGCATTATTTTCCTATTCTCGTCCAATTAATGGTGATATTTGTAGCTCGCACCACGACGCGACTTAACCGTCCGCGATAAAATAAAATTCTCGAATGGGGGATGGAAAAGACTTGTCGCAGAATCGCGGCGACGACGGAAACCGCGTACCATCGAGACTAGTTCCCTACGATCCAGTTTTCTCGGCCCTTGGCACACATCTTCTTCACTACGAAGCTATCCCTACTGTTGTACTTCTTAAAGAGTACAAAAACGACGACTATCCGGCTATTCGAGGAGTTTTATCGCGGAAACATATAATGCGCAGCCGGAACGACCGTCCGTAACGAATGCCACATACGTTTTGTTGCCGCTGCGGACACACAGTGATCCAAAGTCGTGGATCTTCTGGTAACACTCCCCAACAATCTGACCATTTTTGCAGCACGGAACATAAAAATGGATGAAGATTTTCTTAGTAAAGAAATTCGCATTCGCTTTGATATCATGAGAAAAGAATCCTCTTTTCAGTGTAAACATTTCTTGGTTTGTTTTGCTTGGCTTGATGTTTCGAGATTTCTAATATTAATATATTTGATAAATTCTTTTGGGATAAAAAGAAATAAAAATTATAGTATCAACATTTTTTATCAATTATAGAATAAATCGATAAAGTAATAATTGTAATGATTTGGAATCGCAAAATAATTTGATAGAAATTGTATTAATTGCTTTGTAATTATAAAAGGATACACAGAAAGGGTGTATTGAATAATTTAAGTAGAAATAACATTTTTCAATTGCTGAAAAGCTATCTGAATATTTTCTTTGTCCACAGCGAAAGAACATTGTTAGAAGGTTGTAGAATTTATGTGGCGGTTAATTGGAATAAGGATACGAACAGGTTGCGATACAACCCGCCGTTGTTGTTGCACGGCTTTTCCTTTACAAGCGTACTCCGACCATCCTTAGTATCTTCCAATCTAGCAGATTAAAGAGCATAGATATAATCTGGAGCGCAGTAATTTCGTTGCCATTATCAGCGTACGATTCCCTCTCTTCGCTCTTTGAACAATCTCTTGCGCAAACTTTAATAACCCAAAATTTTGATAGACTATTAATATATAAATTTCTCGTGATTTTTTTTTAAATCCAACTGTAACTCAGTTTAAGTATGAATCATACATAAGATTTATCGTTAGTGTGACCAGCGACAATGGAAGAATATGCGAAAAAAATGCGCGTCGAAGACGCTAACAAAGAACGACAAAGCGCGTATGCGAGAGAGAGAAAAATGTGAAGGTATAGCCGACTGTACGGGATATTCAGTAAAAAGAACACAGGAAGAAATGATTTTATTCTCGTAGTAACAGCGGAAAAGAGTAGCGGAGAAATGATTTACGTACAAGCAACAACTATTGTCCATACTTAAGCATGAATGAGGTAACAGCAAAAAAGAATAAAAATTAGAAACGACAAAAGCATTTTCTTTTATAAAATCATTTCTACTGTAGACTTAAGGGAGAGTAAAAGAGAGAGATATTATTACGATTCGCTATAAAAATCGACGGCTTTAATACGTCAAAGTATTCACACACACACACACACACATATTTATTTTATAAATGATTATTATTACGGTTTGTATGTGCAATAACAAAAAAAATATGAAAATCATATTCGTAACGTTAACAAACGGTTTGTTAAATAACAGTTATTGCTTTCATAATTAATATGCGAATGGATGATATATTTATTA